CGGGGCTGCTGCTGGTCCACGTGCCACAGCCCAGCCCAGTGCCTGCAGCGGGGTGACGCTGACAGTCCTCCCTTCCCCTAACACCCTCGAGCTGCAAGGTGACATCAGGGTGCAGGAGGCCTGGGAAAGGCCAGTGATTTAGGGCTGGATGGAGAGACCCTCTCTGAGTCCGGGAGATTCAAACCAAGCTTTTCGGGAAGGGGAGGCCACAGCGCTTAGCCATGCCGGTGAGGTCCCTGCAGCTTCTGGTGAGGGAAGGGTTGACTGCATCCAGCACCCTTCGCGCCTCCTGGGACCCGGCCGTGCCCTCTCCCCTCGCGTTACTAAAGCCGTGGCGGCGGCCGCCTTTTGCTCTGCTGTTTCCCGGCAGTGCTCCGCGCAGTGCGGCCTTGGCCAGCAAAGAAGATCCGTCCAGTGCCTGGCTCACACCGGGCAGCCGTCCAGCGACTGCGTGGAGACCCTGCAGCCGCCCGGCATGCAGCAGTGCGAGACCAAGTGCGAATCGGGACCTACGGACAACCCTGAAGGTGAGACGGGGGGATTGGGGAGGGAAACGCGGAGCACTGCCAGCCTCGGGGACTGCGTGGTACAGGGACACAGGAGCCAGCACAGCCCGAGCTGGGCTCTAGGTGCTGTGCTGTGGAGGAAGGCTCTCATGAGGAGACCTGATGCTGTCCCCTCTGGTCCCAGGTCGAACTGGCATGCCATGACCCTGATAAATGAAGTAACTGCACCTTGGCAAAGAGCGACTTTCAGTAGTGAGGTTCTCGGTAGCTTCTTCAGCACGGCTGCATCTTGCTGCTTCCTGGCAAAAAGCCCCCAGGAGCTGGGCACTGGGGTGCAAAAGGAGCTTGCATAGCGCTGGTTAGAAATGTGTGTGTGTGTGTGTGTGTGTGTGTGTCCCGGGGGCTGCTCACCCCCAGGGCAGCTGTAACCCCGCTTCCCTCTCTCGCCCATCCAGAGTGCAAGGATGTCAACAAGGTGGCCTACTGCCCGCTCGTCCTGAAGTTCAAGTTCTGCAGCCGGACCTACTTCCGACAGATGTGCTGTAAAACATGCCAGGGGCACTAGGGACACAGCGTGACCCCCGTGGGAAAACTGGAAGGCAGAAGCTACGCCGGAGGGCCGCCGAGCCGTGCCCTTCCTCTCCGCCCCGGGAATCTCCCCTGGGTCCAACACAGACACTGGTCGTGCTTCCAGTGGGAGCCGGCGTCACCCAAACCCGTCCCCCAAAGACATGCACCCTTTGCCCCCGAGCTTCACAACGGCAGGTTCCCAGTTAAACCACTGCCAGCCACTGCAGACACCACCACGGCCCAGTGTGACAGGAGCCGGTCGATGAGCGGTGGGAGAGGGAGAAGCTGGGCAGAGCGTGGCAGCAGGGACATTACTTGAAATTCTGACGTTGTTATTTATTGTTAGCGGACCCGTGCCCTCCGGGCGCCGACAGCCACCGAAGCGGCACCGCTCGTCCCGCTCCCGGCCTCGTCCTGTGCCCGTGTCCCCGGGGCATCGCGGGGCATCGTCGTCCGCAGGGAGGCCTCCCCGGGGAGGCTGAGTGCACGGGGGCGGCTGCCTTTCCCTCGGGGATCCCAGGGGAGACAGGGAGGAGGTTTCAGGTGCCGCGGGTGACAAGCGTGGCTTGTGGCTTCTGGGCGATGGATGAAGATGAGCTGCTGTGGGGAGTGGGGTTGGAGCAGGATTATTGTTTTCTTGGTTTGCATCCTGTCACCTTGGGACATGCAGCAGGGGACAGAGAGCAGGTCACTCAGTGAGCAGAGCAGTCACACTGGTTTAACTGGGAGAGGGGGTTGTTCAAACTCTCTTAACAACCTACTTTAATTGGGGTGTCCCCCTGTTTTCCCTTAAAGTCACTGGTATGACAGGTTTTTTTATTCCAGAAACACCTCAAAGCACGAGCTGAGGTGAGGGCCGAGGTGTGCTCGGGGTTGCAGTCACTTAACGGGCATCAAGGACACGTTGGGCTGCAGGAAGCAAAGCGAAGGAGGACGCAGGACGAGCACTGTCTCGGTCTCATTGTCCCCATTGCTGAGCTGTGACTCGGGACCAGTCTGCCTGGTCCTAGCAGGGCCTTCCCCAGCGAACGCCGCGGCCTCCATGGCTGCTTGGCCTCCAAAGGTGCTTTACTTCCAAAGGTGCTTTGCCTCCAGAAGGTGCTTTGCCTCCAAAAGGTGCTTTGCCTCCAAAGGCAGCCTTGCCGTGTGCCGCTGTGGCCTCAGTGTGCTGGTCCCAGTGCCACCCGCTCCTCTGCCCCCAGGAGACCTCCAGTGATGGGAAAAGAACAGGCTTGAAATGCCTCCAGGTCACCTCCTGGCCAAATCTGGCCCAACACGTGTCTTCTCCATGGGCCACCACAGCCTGTGGAGGAGGCCTGACTTTCAAATCTACAAAACGTGCTTTTTGTTATCATTATTGTGATTATTATTGTTTTCAGGCCTTTCTGCATCACAGAGATAAGAAATCGTGACCAAAGCCGTGTTCTGTTCCCCTTGGGGGTCACCCGTGCGGTGCAGGGAGGCGGACAGCCCTCTTCCCCCAGAGCAAACCTCTCTGCCCCGCCAGCCCTCACGTGTTACTCTACCATCTGTATTTTTACCCGCTCATCAGCCGATCGCAGCTTCTCTGGTGCTCAGCAAATCCCGTCTGGCTGTCGAGCGGGCCTTCATTTGTCTTCCTTCCTGGTGCCATGCTCCGTTCTGACATTTTGGTGAGGGGAGGGGGTGTTTTCACATTTTTATATAGATATATATATAATGAAAAATGTTTAACATACTAACTCTGAGGAGGAGCGACGTAACGGCATGATTTATAATAAAGGAGTAGCTACGATCCCGGGCGCAGCTTCTGGTCCCAGTCTTGTTTCTCGAGCAGCAAGCCCGAGCTCTGGGCAGCCCCACACCACGATGCTCCTTGTGCTCATGCTGAAGGAGGGCTGTGGGCAGCAGGGGAGGGTTTTCCCTGCAGCCCGAGTGACCAGAGGAGGTCAGAGAGGTGGACATTCACCCAGAGCTGCTGCATGGCACATAGGAACAGGCTTCCCCTTGGCAGACCCCTTGTGGGCTGAGTGTGCACCCCAGGGGCACACAGGCCCCGTACTGGTAATGCTGGTTTGGGATTTTAGGGAGGGTTTATTTGAAGAACTATGTGTCTGAAACACCACTGACGCTTCCCTGCATCCCTTGGGCTGGTTCCTGTGGGGATTGACACGCAGGTTTGTGCCATGTCTCGTGGCTCTGGAGAACCAGAGGACAGACTCTCCAGCAGGACCTGTAGCCAGAGGACAAGGGGTAACAGTTTTAAACTAAAAGAGGGGAGATTCAGACTGGATATAAGGAAGAAATTTGTTACGATGAGGGTGTTGAAACCCTGGCACAGGCTGCCCAGAGAGGTGGTCAATGCCCCATCCCTGGGAACAGTCAAGGTCAGGCTGGACGGGGCTCTGAGCAACCTGATCCAGCTGAAGATGTCCCTGCTCACTGCAGGGGGGTTGGACTGGGTGGTCTTGAATGGTCCCTTCCCACCCAAACCATTCCAAGAGTCTATGACTCTGCGATTCTAACCTGGCTGCGAGTGACTGCGCTGGTGTTCAGGAGAGAGAGGCGGTTTCGGAAGCGAAGGACCCTGACCTGGTCTTGTGTCTGGGCCTCGACAAAGTGCTGCCACCTCTTGTTCCAGCAATTCGCCCCAGTGCTGCCCAGAAAGTGTCACGAGGCCAAGGTTAGAACAGGTTTATTTGAGGAGGAGACATCTCAGGAACGCTTTGATCGTCATCTTCTGCTGAGGTGAGAGGCGTGCCCAGCACGGGCTGTGTGTTCGCCGAGGATGGTCTTCACAGCCTCCCTGCGCTGCCGTGCTGCCTGCACCCAGGAAAGGGCAGGGAGACGCCCTGCGAACCCCTGGGGGGCAGCAGGGCAGAGCAGGATGGGGAGGAAGAGCCCAAGCAGCGCTTGAAGCTCCACCATGCTTCAAGGGCGATTGACCGACGGACGGAGATCGATGGATGGATGGCTGGGAAACACGTGCAGGCCGGCTGCACCGAGGCCTTGGCTCCCTGTCCGCGGCGTACCTGTCCCCCGCCAAGGAGCTGGCCCCACGCCGGCAGCGTCTCAGGTAGGGCAGGAACCGCTCGGCGTGACGGGCTCCCTTCAACGCCGGGGTCGGGTCGCGGTGCTGTCGCAATGAGCCGGGGCTTGCAGAGATGCGCTCGCACACCAGGGTTGTGGCACAACGCCGGGTCCGTGTGTGCACAGGGTTTGCGGGAGTACCGGCTCTGCAGTCACAGTGGGGACACCACAGTGGCTGTCCCCTGCACGGCTCCAGTGACAATGGTTTCACCCTGGTTTTGGCCAACATGTTTCCTCGAGTGTGGCCTTTTTTTCTTCAACAGACCTGAAGAAGAACCCACAGCAACCAAAAGCATCTTGCTCCTAAAACCACCTTAAAGCAGAGCATCCTCCAGCACCAGCTGGTTAGCAGTCACAGTGGGGACACCACAGTGGCTGTCCCCTGCACGGCTCCAGTGACAATGGTTTCACCCTGGTTTTGGCCAACATGTTTCCTCGAGTGTGGCCTTTTTTTCTTCAACAGACCTGAAGAAGAACCCACAGCAACCAAAAGCATCTTGCTCCTAAAACCACCTTAAAGCAGAGCATCCTCCAGCACCAGCTGGTTACCCTGGAGGGGGGCACATCA